TTGCGTATGACAATCTTTGAACAATATTGCAAAAATAAAGAATTATTGCTTTACATGATTTGATTAAGATATAGCTTAAAATATAGATATATTGATATATACATATATTATATTTAAAGATTTATTTTGTACACGAAAACTTTTCTTTTTATTTAGGTTTATTATATATTTCGATCATACATTTTGCAGGGTATGCTGATGTGTTTCCCTAAACTATTCTCAAAATGTGTACACGGCAAATGCAAATATTACAGCTTGGCACTATCACGTAGAGGTTTGAAAATAATAACAATTTCTGGGCTATAGGCAGGACCGAAAATATTTGTGAGGTGCACAATTGTGGAAATTGCTGGCGTCCATGAGGGTCAGGCGAAGAGATATCCCATTCAGATGTACTAAAAATGTCAACGATGCAAATTGGAAAAACCTAGAGCATACTCAAGCGTGTGTGTGAGGGAAGGAAATTGTGCACATATGCAAATGAAATGTGAAACTGATAAATTTTCAATTAAACTGCTGCTTGTTACGCCAGCGCCAAGTCAAGTTGACAGTAGAATGGGTCAACAGGAAAAGGAGAGCACAGAAACAAACCCCAGAGAGGGGGACCTTGGGTTAGGTTCATCAGATCATTCAATTACGAAATTAAATTTTTAGAAGCGACAAACCCAGTAAAATAATGCAAAAGGAAAATTAAATATTTCAAGGGTTGCTCAACAAACAGCACGACCTTTTTTTAAGGTGGAATTTTAGGTCGGATTCGACAATTGAATAGACGCTTGAGTAAATAAATTGCCCAAGCAATCAAATAATGGCAGGGTATTAGTGGATACACTTTTGTAAATATTATATTCATATATATATATTTATTTTATTTATTTCTTTATTTTGCATACTTTACTGCATGTGATAATTAGCATGAACCTAACATAGAGATAAGAATTACTTTTCTAAGAGAATAGAAAAACAATAAACAAAATTCAATAAAATAGCAAAATAAGCTAAAATACATATAAATTACATATAATTTGTAAATATCTTAATAATGCAAAACATTAGTATTCTTTATTACATTAATTTTCCGCTCTTTCATTTTATTATTTTCATATTTGTATGTTAATTACCTATAGTTAATGAAATTAGTTTATAAATATTGTTTTAATTTTTTTTCACCCTAAAAGTATTCAATAAAAATTACTAAACGAAAACTGCGAAGGCTCAACAATAAAAAGAGCACCTTGCCGCTGAGATGCAAAAGAGCTGTCTACGTGCAGTGTATCCTACCGATATGGCTCTATGGAGTGCGAAGGTTTTGCAGAACCGAGTACTGCGACAGATAACCAACTCTCCCTGGTATGTACGCGGCTCAATACTTCAGAGAGACCTTAAGCTGTTTACTGTCGAAGAGCAGATTGGAAGACACACAAGCAGATACACGGACAGACTGCAACGACACCGAAGCCTTCTTGCAAGAGGTCTAATCCCTGCCAGACCCCTAAGACGACTTAAACGGCAAGGCTTTGCCAGAACGATGGGAATGCTGTAAACTGTCTCCTTTTAATTCCTCATATTATGACTGGTTTGGCTCTAATTTCATATATATACATGTGTTGTTAAGGTACTAAATTTGATTGTACAGGATCTACACTTTTATAAATAAAAAAAAAAAAAAAAAAAAAAAAAAAAAAAAAAAAAAAACCCAATACATTATTAATTAATTGAAAACAATTATTAAACTATCAACTGTTGGCCACATCGCTTGGTCGCTTGTCAATCAATTTTAATTATAAGTCCATACATTTTAATAGTTAACTAAACCACAAATTTATGAACTTTAGTAAAAGAGCTCAGGTATCGCATTTCAGTTAGCTTTGAGCCGCCCCGAGCGCTCAATTGCGCGTAAAAATTATAGAATTTAATTAACGCATGGAAATTGAGCGCCAAACTGAGAGGGAGGGAAACCAAAAAAAGGGGGCTTTCAGCAGCAACAGTTGGTTCGATTACACAAAAAAGGGGGCTGCGACGGCATGTGGGTTAACCTTTTTATGCAAATCGCACCTTTAAAGTGTGTGTGCTTTACACCTGCTGTGTGTGGATGATGAGGAGGGGGAAAGACCGGGGACAGTGAATTCTCGAGTAGCTGGAGACACAACTCTCGAACAGACACAATTTAATTGACAATTGTTTGTCGTCTGCGGTGGTTGCTGTCCCCGGCTCAATTGGAGCTCGCACAGCTGTGACCGGCAGCATGACCAGTGCTTAAATGGATATTTATTCATATGGCACCCCTTGACAGTGGGTTGCAGCCCTCCTAATACCAGCAGACCCAGCCAAACAGCCCCACACAAAGCGAGAGGCCGAAATAACAAGAGCGACAGAGAGAGAGAAAGCAAGGGAGACAGCAATATATTGTCAATGGCCCAGCAAGGGGCACATCAATTTATGCGTGGACGCGTCAAAATTGTGGGCAAGCTTTTAAGAGGAGGCTCGCACAGGGCGGCATGGACTGATGATACGTGCTACGTGTTGTGCCTAGACAAATGAGATTATATATACACACACATATAGCTGCATGTGTGCGTGTTTTCCGTTGGGGTTTTCAAGCATAATGTATACATCATTGAAATCAATTGCATTAGTAGCACAAATTGTTCAGCATCAAAGTGCTGCACTTAAAGGGGTCGCCCTAACATAGCGTAACTATATTAGACCAATTAACAATACCTGTAAAAGAGTGTAATATTTACTTATAAAGAAACTACGATAGATGCTCGCTATCGAACTTTAGCAAATTATTTCTAAGGCAAACGTTGAGCTACCGACGTCATTCGCGTTTTATCATCGATCACAAAATATTTGAAATAGAAAGAACTTTCATACACTTGTTTTAGCACTGCTTTATTCCAACTTTATTCTAGCTAATTATATTATATAATTATATTATACTGATTAGCTTTATCAAGCAGCTCCCTCTTAAATTCTACTTCTACTTAGCAGCTCATATCATGTCCTTACTCAAAGTTTCCTTCGCAATTGATGCGAATTTGTACACAATTTAAAGCTCTACTTTAAATGGCAATATATTTTCAACTGATGGTTTGTCGATTACCCAAACTGGAACTGCAAAATACTTTTATATTCGTTTTCACCTAAAATACAAAATATATTACTTTTTAACAAAGCATTTCCAGTTACTGGCTAAGTATATGCACAAGCCCCAATTGGGGCTGCTATGCAAAAAATGTTCATCTTTAGCTTCTAATCGAATCGGCAAATAGCATTGAAAACGTTGCCGCTGCTAGAAATACTCAATGTAAGCTTTGCAATCGCATCACTCACACACACATATCATGCCAATGTTATACCGCACACAAACGTATTAATTACACGAGTGTGTGTGTGAGTGTGTGTAAATGTGTTTGGAGAGGGCTTAACAGCAGTGGAAGGCCTGGCATGTAAATTAACGCTGTCAAAGTTGCCACTTGCAACTTTGGTGGCAACAAGTGCAGCACGTAACGTGCTTTACCACCTTTCCTCCTGTCCTGCCCGTACCCATAGCAACAGCTCGTGCCACGCTCCATTGCATAATTGACGTAAGCAAAGGCAGGGCTGATGGCTGCACACAAAAGTGGGTAACGCAATATGCGCGTTAGACGATTAAACTGCGTGCGAAGCCACCCACAGTCCCACTCTGATTGTCCACCTTCAGTGCGGCTACGCGCTCTGTTCCATGGCTGCTTAATTGAGCTATGACCAGCTATTTGAGCTGTTAATTAAGCTTGAGCAAAAAGTTAGCCACCTTGCCACCCAAAAGGCATATTCACTGAGTTAAACATACACACACCCGCACACACTCACACACGCACATGCGTTGCCCAGATGCGCAATGCCAAAAATCCAATCAAACTGCTTAAAAACTTCTCTCACTTTCTTAGCACAATTTGTGGCGCTTAATCAACAAACCTCGATAAAAAAAATTCAAGCAAACTATGAATTGACGAAGCTTCAATACTCTACACACTGAAGCATAACAAATTGGTTATTAGCAAAAAAGTTTAAGCCTCTTTAAGTGTTTTCTTCTTTTAGCATTTCACATTTTGTACTTTTCACAAGTTATGTTATTTTAATTGGATTTTTTCTAGTGCAACTTATAACACTAATAAGAATCGAATATGCATAAATTTAAAATATTTTAAAGATCTCAATAATTGAAATAGGTTTCATGAAGAAACATTTCTTCTTTACAACTCTCTAACATAGTTTAAGTTATATTTAAAAATTACTATATTATAGTACTATATTTATATATATATATACATATAGTTATTTATATAAATTGGAGGCATACCAATCCAGTTGGCCTCAGCTATGCCCCATTCAACATAATACCCTTCCTGAGCGAGTCTATTCAAATCGAAATTGGAGTAAATTTCATGCTAACGTCGCACAAAAATTTTAAATTACTTTTCGGCTTTGCGTTTGACGCTGCGTTTTCTTCTGCGGCGAGAGGGGATGAAGTGTGGGCTGGGCGTGGCATGCTTCATTGGGTCAGTTGGAAAAATTGAGTGCAAGGCAATTGCAATTAGGCGAAATGCGCTGCATATTCCGTGGCGTTAAATTTTCCGTGTGCAATTAAAATTTTGGTTTCGGCCAAGAAATTTGCCGAGCTAGTTTTATTTTTTCTCGTGGCAGAAGCTGGGGCGTTAGGGCTCTACTAATGAGTTGGATGCACGCTGAGGTCACAAAGTTAAATGGTAGAAAAAAGTGTTTTATAATTTCCCTGAACGTTTTAAGCGAAGTTTAACCTCTAATAGCAGTCTAAAGTTTTTTATTGCATACTTTTGTGAGCTGATTAAGTAAAGTGCTGGAGTCAAAAAAACCGAGAAATTTAAATATAATGTAATTCAGTTAGGGAATACTTTCTCTATCAAAACAAGACTTAATTGTTGAAATAATTTACGAAACTCAGTTATAGAATTCTGTCATTTAAGTAAATTCTGGCACTTACCTTACGAAATGAACCCAATTTCAATTGATTGGAACTGCAAGGAGAGCAAATGAAACGAGTTCGTTAAAAATATATAGGAAGCATTAAACATTAAACATTAAAAAGACATAAGAAAATTTTACCACAATTCAAAGTTGTCCTACAATTTTTAAAAACATCTTTTGTGCGTTTTTAAGAGCATAATTACGAAACAGTTTCTTGTCAGCAGCCGGAGAAATGGGTAAATGGCGCAACTTTCGCCCATCTGGAGTGGCAGCCATTTTATGGGTAATGGCAGCCAAATGAAACCGTAAAACAGCGAGCCCCCAGTTGTCGCCCAGTTTGAAATATGTCCCACCTCCCTTTACACACACAAAGTTACAAAAAGTATCGCAATACCCGCATATCTATGGCAAATGGCTTGCATATTAAAAATGACAACAAGACAAAGCCAAAGGACAAAAGACGAAACAGAACCTTAGGGCTAGACAATGCTGAAATACCCTAACTTACAAACTGAACTCGTTTACCGATTCCCATGAAAATCTTGCGAATCGGAAATTACATTACGAACGTTGAGTGTTGAATAGGAAAGGAAAAGATACATAAAAGATATTTTATATATATATATATATATATATATATATAATATATAATATATAATGAATATAATTTTAATTTCAATTCAACTTCAGAGCTGCTGAGCTACTCTATCTCTATACTACTCTTTTTAATGGCTTAAACATTTCATGGCCATAGCAATACTCGCTGCCTGGATATAAGAGTGGCGAAGCCCAAAAGCGTTGACAACCAAAAGCTAAATTCATCAATGACAACGTGAAAGATGTGAAGGATGTTAATGTTGATCTCCCATGGTGTTACGTTATTATACTCCTGCGTTGCCTCTGTGTCGGCCACTGTCTGTGAGTGAATGCTGATGTTGGCTACCAAAAATGTCGCTACTTTTTTCCTTTTATTGATACTCCATTACTCGACAAAAAAACGGGAGGAAAATATTTTGGCAGCTGCCGCAATCGATGCTATTTATCGACTCAACTGGGGGACTAAAGCTTTTTATGGCAGCTACATTTTTTCTTTCTACACTTTTAATTTTAATGCTGCTCTACCTGATATCGCTATAAAAAACTAACATTTTCATTCAAGTAAAATGAAACATGAAGCATGAAACATGCACCAAATTGCACTTTTTTGTGTCAATTTTTTACAACTGCTGCGAAATGTAACCAAATGTTAATTTCGGAACATGTTTTAAAAACATTGAAACTAAATAGGAATGACTGAAAAACGAAGAACAACAATTTCAATTGCTCAGAGCAAATGTGAAAAGTTCAAATTAAAATTTAAATTGACATTGCACAATATAATGCAGAAAGCAGGTCAAAGAACAGCGTTTGGTATGGTCTCAAATGATAAATGCAAAGCTTTGCTCAGTGTATGCAAATGTGGCAAATCAATGAGTTTAATTTGAATTCATAAAGCATTTAAATTAACTGCAAGCTTATTTGGCATAATTACTCATGAAAAGGCAATAATAGGTGAAGAGCTTCAAAATTTACCGACTTTGTTTCCAGTTAACGAAGCCAAGTGTTGCGAGATGCTCGACTGGCCTCAACTTGGTTGGCCAAGTGTTAAATAAAGCAGCTCATTGAAGCCAAAACAGGGCAAGACAGAAGACATTTTCAGAATCAAGCTGCAAGGTGTGGCTAAAGCCCAGTTGAAAGATTCGCTGATTGCGGCTGCCCGCTTTAAATTACAGGCAAAGCATTATAAAAAAGTGGTGAAAACTTCTGGAATGGGCATAACTAATTTGGTAATGGAGCCGCAACTAGCCTTTTTATGGCAAGGGAGAAACTTAATTGGCCATTGGCCAAAATGAGACCAATTCAAAGTTTGTTAACGGCGTAGTGCAAATCATAAATATAAATTCAAAAGACCATGAATCAAGGAAATTACAAACGCGTCTGCTGCAGTCATAAAGGGTTATTCACTTTTGAGGCGAGTTTCACGAGAAATAAAAAAAACAATTGAAAATGAGAATTGAGAAATGAGAAGCGCGAAAGAAGGAAAACAATCCAGAAAATATTGTTTAAAGAATTCAAAGTTAAAGCTGTAATCACAGGACAGAGTTAATAGTAAGCTAATAAAGTGTAAGCTGGATGAGCAACGCGAGAGCTCAGCACGAAGTAAGAATATTAAGAAAGTGAGAGAGACAGACAGAGGATAAAAGCGCCTAAGGAGCTTGTTGAAAATTACGAAGTTTATTTAACAAAGAACAAAAATTTGCTTACTTATAATAAAATGGAAAAATACGTGAATAGCAAAGAAGAAAATGGTTTAATAAATAATCTAATAAATTGTTATTAACTAATAAGCTGGAATATTTTGCAGCCCCTTCTAAACAATAGTTACGGAAAACTGTTTATTAACTGTTATTATTATTATTAACTTTTTATTTATTGCATTTGTGAAATTCTTAACATTTAATCATCTTAGCTCTGTATAGCCACAGTCAATTTGTTTGTTGGCCAATGGAAATACTTCCACCAATTCACTGGGTCTTATCATTTTTGAAGTACTCACATGAACGCCTCGTTCACTCCCCTGTGGCCATTTCACCTGCTTGGGCGCAAGCAGTTGGAAGACAATATATTTTAACAATGTTAATAAAATGAATTTGCATGCATAATTAACTAGGCATTTCCGCTACAATTTGCTGGTCCACCCATTCCTAAGCTGACAGCTCGTCGCCCTCATCTTGAGTCGCGCACTGTGCGACACAAGCCCCGCGGTTATGATGCATGTGTGACATTAGCGCAAACATCAGGCCAAATAATTCATCGCAGTGGGTGTGCCATGCCCAACGCTTAAAACGAAATTAAAGCAATTTGGAGGAATGCCTAATGTGAGCTAGCATATAAATAGCCCCCTTCTGTGGTTCTGTTTATCTTCAGCTGGTACTTGAAGTTAAGTTTCAGCAATGCTTTCGCTAGATTTGCATAAATTATTTGAAAATGCATTAAAGTCTGGGGACAACCATATCTTAAGGTTTATAGTCTAATTAGCATATATACATATGTATGTGTTGTGTATAGTGCATGCTTGAAAGGAGGGTATCTCCTAGTTGGGAAGTCCCGACTAAAGCATTCTTACTTGATAAATTTCTTTTGATATCTTACTACGAAGAAAAGACTTTCGCGAGCATAACTTTAACTATGTATGTAGCTGACATATAACTTATTTATATGGGTAAATCATGAACTAGTTTATATGAATGAATTAACCCAAAAACTGCTATTTGAAGTTTCCTTAAGTACTTGAATCATGAACAACGTTATATAAAATATATTACTTCTTATATACGAAACATAAATCAAGTTTTCTTTCATATACTCAGCTACCGTCCTAATTGAAACATAACATTCTTAAAAATCATAAGCTTATTTTTTTCCCAGTTACTTTCTTATATAGAAAATTTCTAGCTTTTCCATTGCCCTGAGTGTCCCTGTCTCACACTAATTAAATTTTACGTTTTCTCTTTTAGCTCTTCGAATTCCTTCATTATGCAACATTCTTCTTTACTGTTTAGCCTCTGGACACACTGAGCAACATTGTTACTACTTATTTTGCCATTTCCCCATTATCACCTTCCTGCAACCCAACTACTTTCCACTCAATGTCAACTGCAAAAGCAATTAGATCTTAGCTTCATGATGTTTACAATATTTCAGTATTAAATAAGAAAATGAAACCCATACACATAGCTCGGAGCACTTCAAAATCCTAAACCCATATTATTAAAAATGTAACCATAAAAGCAAAACAGAGACAAAGCATTACAAAGGTAGCCATGCAATGAATCTTCCAGTTATTGTTTTATGGATAGCTTTCGGGCGCAAGTCCTTGACAATAAAAGGCTCACCAATTTTTCGGGTAGCTCAATTTCTTTTCGTACAGCTCGCTGTGAGCATACTTGAAACTTGTTAGCCAAGTGCTTTTGGACCACTTGAAAATGTTTCAACATTCGCTCCAAAAAAAGGTAACGAAGCATTAAATTGAAATGCCGCTCCTCTCAAAGGCCCCTGCGAAAAAGTTGCGTACCTTAAGCTTTTGCCATGCACACAGTGTACACACCTTTTTGCATATATACATATATATATATAATGTATATATATTTTTTATTTGCTTAAACTTTTGCTAAAGCATTATTATTATATTGTTCGCATTGTTGTTGTTGCTGCCCGTTTGAGTCGGAGCGGGGAGAAGCCTTAAGAGCGGTACAGGCAACAGCAGCGAGAACAAGTTCAGTTAAATAAAATATAAAACAAAACAAACATTGTTCAAATGAACTAAGTTTTAACCTGCTTTTTGCGCGCCACGCAGTCTTTGGATCGAATATTCTAGTATAGGATATTTTCCTGATAAAAATTATAATTTTTTAATTAATCAAATAGTTTCTCAGAGCTAATGAAGGACATTAAATTTATCTCGAATTAAGTTGAAGACCTTTTTTTATATTATATATACTGGAAATAAAATAGCTAATATATCAGATATGTGTGGCAGACTATGGAGCATGTGTTGAAGTATGAGTATAGGCTAAAGGCTGGAATATTAGAATATAAACTTGACTGGTCAAAATTAATTTGATATAGTGGATATAGCTAAACCCCTAAAATTTTCAATTTTCTTTAAAGACAAAATTTAATTTAGTTTCATTTAATATGCAATTTATGTTCCAAGCAAGCAGCTAACATTTTGCAACAAAGATAATTAAATATCATAGCTCATTTGAGCACAGGAAAATTGACGGCAAAGGCATCCATATTAAATGTCCAATGCAAAGTGTCGACAACCAAATGACAAAGTGTACAGAGAGCAAAGCCACAGGCAATTATGCCCGGACCGAGGCTTGTTGCCCAAAACATTCACTTGTATAAATAATTATTTGCTGTCTTCGTAATTTGCAGGGCAATCGCCCGAAAGCCTCAAAGCCCGTTTGCCTACAGCTTGATTTGCCAACTGCAGCCAGCTTAG